GAATTAACAAACTGACTCAAACTGACACTACTATAACTGGAACAAATAACTACACATGCTGTCCTACAAACACAGTGGGGACCACTGCAGTGGGGCCCACATCAGTGTTCTCTACAAATCTCTATATGGTGCAAACTCCTAATCTTATTAGGAGTTGATCCAAATTTGATTTGGATCAGAACTTTTCTTTTCTTAATTGATAAACATAATCCTCTTAAGAGGATAAGTGCTCCATACCAGATCCATACCCAGTTTTGACACAAATCAAGTTGTCATTTGACAACTTAACTAGTCATATTAGTAATGGGCCTTAGGCCCATTTCTCTTGGTCACGTTCCTAAGTGTTGCATGGCCACTTTGAGCCTGATATTGTATGGCGTGGGACCCCACAAAGGTCTCACACAAATCCATGAGGGTTTGGCCCCACCTCTAAAAGAGATTGGGCTGAATTCATTACTTAGGGCAGTGAACCCCTAAGCCAATCAACATGGGCTCAGTCTGGGCCCAACATTTACACCTAAATGATCATTGGATTCAGCCACCCTATGAAGACACACGGATAATGCATTTATGTGAGATAAAGCCCATCAGGTAATCAGCCTTGTAATGGTCTCTTATACTTAATTTCTTGGCCCATAATGGTTAGAACACTACCCAACAGGGAAGGACTTCTCCCCTGGCTGCAAGGTGCAATGTCACACTCTCTGCTCGGATGCATCCCGATATTAAAACCTTTTGTAAACCTTTTTGTTAAAATAATAATATAATATATAAATATATTTTGCAAAACTAGATTTCAAACACATGTGAAATCCACTGCCGACAGTTTAGGTTTCCATTAGAGAGAGTGTAAACCCTGATATTCACTTTGTCTGACAAAGGGGTTGATCTTATCACTATGATCACCCACTCAAGTAATTTCCCAAATTGTCCTAACATGCCCAGATATTTGACCCTTGATGGATCTCATTGGTTGGCACATCAAAGGCAGTCTAGTCCACTACTTAGTAGTATTATAATCAGGTTTGGGGTTATGTGCAACTTTCCAGTTTTGCCCATCTATCTCCAAGGTCTAGGGCATAATTGGAAATTGGTTCGGGTTCAGTGTTTCTTCCAAACAACCATTGTTTGTGCTTTGGATCTAACCCTAGCAGCTGTGACAAGCTGCTCCAACTATTTGGCAGCACACCAATGTCAGTCTTGTCAAGATAAACTCTCAAAGTCTTTCCAATGGCTGATAACATTCTAAACTAACACGAGTCTCATAAGTGTCCAGTTTAAGGGGTAATACACAAAAAATATACCAATATAAATATGAAACAATAATGTATTTTATTCATTTACAAATAATTGTTCATGTACATCAATTTGATTAGAGTTAAGGGCATACACTATCTAACAGGGCCGTCACTTGGGCCAGGAGCTCAACACGTCCCATTGAGACCCAGTAGCCCCAACTACCATCCTAATCCCATATACACTTTTTATCAACACAAACTGGCTGCCCAAGTCTCTTACTCTCTATTTGTCACTACCCAATAACTATATGCCTCCTTGGGTGTCCATTGAGCTTGAGATCTTAACTCCTTTCATTTTTCTTTTATCCCATAGAATGTTGCTGTAGCTCCATAGGCCTGCATTATTATTTGATAGGCAATTCAAAGTTATGCATGAATTGCCTTCCACCAAGATGTCTTCAAAGTTTAATGACCTAGTTAGCTTTAAACCCTTGGTGTAAAGTCCTCATAGATTTCAAAATCTTATAAATCTGCTACAACAGGTACTATGGTATGCTAATTAATTTATTCTTGCTTCTCAAATCAGGGAATCCTGTCACACGATGGGCATCTGTAGCTTTTGGTGCTGGAGTGGGTATTGGATCAGCATACAACGAATGTTGTCATAAATTGGAAGGTTCACCAACGTTGGTGTCTCCTATAATTTTAGAGGCTGCTACTGTGCAGGTAATGTTAGGATTAATTTGTACCATTTTGTTACAATACTTAAACAAAAGTTTTGCAGATACCGGTTAGCTTTCTATCTGCATTTTTTGTGCCATCTTGTATTGTAATTTGTAATAGGGCCATTGATTGGTGCAATGGTAAGACCTTAGGCTGGCAAGTATGATAAAATGGGTTTGAGCCTGAGAGTGACTACTTCATGCAAGAAATTGGCATAGGTTAGGTCCTTAACCAGTCCACCCCTCCCAAAACATTTGATAGCTGGGACCATCAGTGGGTGATGGCCCTTTTTTGTTTTGTTTTATCGTTTTGTAGAAATTTATTGGTCATCTATTAAGGTCCATTTTTTACTGAAAAGTAGCTTGGTTTTCTGTCTTATACTGAAATATTAAGTTTTAATAAACTTGATTTTAAAATACATGCCCACATTTGAATGTGCAGACTAAGGTGGGGTTCAGTTGTTTTCAAAATCAGGTGTGGTGTGATTGAGAATTGTTGTTTTGAACTATTGGTATCACTTGAGGGTATTTATCCTGTGGTATGGTTGTGTTTTGAACCATGCAACTTCAAAGAGTGTTTTTACAGCCTGTGGTATGGTTGAAAAAGCATTAGGCCCCACTCCAAAATAATAATCATTATCATGTCTTACCATATTTGATGAAATCATGCTATATAAGCAAAAAGAAAATGATATTTTCAAGTTTCTGGGTCTGAAACACATAAATTTAAGTATTCAGAAGGCGGGAGGATTGCTGGGTCTAGAACCAGCAATTTGTGGTTCTAGAACCACAAACCTTGCCAAAGAACACTTTTAACTGTCGTGTGTTCCAGTGCCAATTGTAAAACAACACACTATGGTATGAATACCCATAAAGTCTTCATGTTTGTCTCTGGTAAAACTTATTTAATCCTGGAAGCCTCTTTGAGTCTTTTCTCTAAAGTGGGTTTTAGGTAATGACGGCTATGTGGTAATGATGGTGACATGGTAAAGTGGAGGAGGTGATGGAGGAGTGACCAAGAGGAGAGAAGCTGGAGGAGAATTTTTTGCCAGTGACGAGGTGGAGAAGAGTGCTGCTTGTGGAAAAGAAGAGATTTATCCGTGAAGAAATCGGTGGAGGCTCAGCAGTTAAAATCAGAGAAGATAAGAGGTCGTTGATAGTTCTAGGCAGGGAGGGGGTGAGTTGGTTCAGAGGTTTCCTCAATGGCACAATCTATGCCATCACTAAGGCTGGGTGGAAGGGAGAGCTGGTCCTATCCAAGAAAAGGTTCTCGGTGGAGAAGAAATTCAATAACAGGGGTGCCTTCGTCCAGTTAACTGAAATCTTTGGGAATGGCAAAAAGCAAGTAGTTTGCATCCCTGGAGCGAAGGCTAAGCAAGGCTGGATTCAAGTTGCTGAAGCTTTAGAAGACTTCGAACATAGGAGATGGTTGCTTGAAAGGAAATCGAACAGTCCTGTTACTGTTCACGAAACTTCAGCTTCAAAAAATATCTCTTTTTCACATTATGGGGAGGAGAGGGTAGAAGAGACCAGAGGAGTGACTGCAGCTATTGCTTGCCCAAAGTTACTGTTAGAAGGAGGTTTGGAGGACTGGGGGAAAAGGAAGGTACTAAGATTAGAAAAGAGGGTGGGCGATTGGAGCGGAGTACTTGATGACATTATGAAGGTGTTCCCTGCAGTAGAAAGGGCTATCTTGGTTCTGTTTGGGTGGACAGCAGCTATTGTTGACCTTGGTTGCAGGTTTGCTGTTTGAGGAAGCGACCAGAGCACAGACTCGCAAAGGTTGGGCGATGCTGGAGAACTGGAATCCGTCTTGCAATGAGCTCGAATGGGAGGAAGAAGTGCTGCAAATAAAGTTGGTAGGGCTCCTGTTCAATCTATGGAAGCAAGAGATTTTCTCCCAAGTGGTGTCTCTCTGTGGGGGATCGCTGGTAGCGATGAACACCTCATCCCTCAGAGCGGCCAGGATCAAAGTGAAATGCCCCAAACCAGATCAGATTCCAAGGTCAATGGAGATTTTCTCTGAAGGGCGCTGGCAAAGAGCTTGGTTAGTGCTGGAAGCTGAATTGTTGCTGTGGGAGAAAAGTAGGGAGGAAGAAGATGATGATGAGGTGTCAAGTTGGGTGCCAAGTGGACTAATGGAAGGGGATTCTTTTAAATCACCTATTGCCCCTTTTTTGGAAGGAGGACAGTCGAATAGAATTTCGCTCGGCTTCAACTTGCCTTTAAAGTTGAGTATTCAAAATTTTTTGAATTTAAGGGGCTGGATGAACTGAGAGGTGGGTCATCCTATGTGGAAGCATTAAGAAAAGGGTCTAAAGAAGTGACAACAGCTGAACTGGGTTCGAACCGCCAAACTCATTCGCATGTTAAGAACACCCCATGTGCTGTCTTATTGGGCACGTGCAGGCGTGTTTGTGAGTGGTTGGGGGACAATAGATTCGGTTTATCGTCATCCCCTTTGATCTTTGACAATTAAATAGAAGTGTCTTCCTCCAAGCTGAATTGGGCGAAGCGATACAAACCTAATCCTTGCTATGACGGGGCCAAAACAGAATGGAAGGAAGTGGAAGAAGATGATCGGTAGGTTGATTGTGAAGATTCTAGTGATGACCTGTCCTCTGAAGACGAGTCAAGCATTGGTAGCGTTAAAGGCACAGTTCAGATCTGTTTGGAGAACGAGGATGACCTTCAATTAGCTCCTCTCTTTGATGAAGGAAAGGTTGCCGCCGATTTCAACTTGGGCCTACAAAGTGGGGGCCATCTCCACTCAACAAAAGACTTAGAAGGTGAAGTGTGGCTATTCCCAGGGAGCGGATTAAAGAACCTTCCTACGAGTCAGGAGAGGAATAGATATTTCCAAAGGGATAAGGATTACAGGCTAAACGAGCTACAAAGACAAGACAAGCAGTTGGTGTTTCGGTAGGGGAACTGGGAAATTGTAGAGAATTTGTTGGTAGGGGGAAAAGCTCCAGATTTGGTTAATTCGACTACAATTTTGGTACCTTCCCAAGATGTTAGAATTGAGAACAGGGGTGTGGTGAGTCAATGACAAAGCTGGGATATTGAAGCTTCTTCTACTCCGATGCTTGCTTTGTCTGCCCCATAGTTGTCAAGACGACTAGGTGACTTTTAGAGGTCGCCTCACCTAATGTCAATATGGTTTTCATATTATGATAGGGTACTGCCTACCTAAGGGTTCCTTCGAGGGGAAACCGACATATAATTGTAGTTGGCCGTTACACTGCAAATTCTAACAACTTAGTTGGTTACGATTTCTTTGATCATAGAGTTGGTTGTGATTCTCTCGTTTGTGGTCTGGATATGCTCTGATGTAGGACGAGGGTTCTTCTTTCGTGTGTAAACCACCGTAAACGGTGGTCATGGGCTATTAGCATAACAGGCTAGGCTTGGGCCGGTCCTTGGGTTCTCATCATCTCCTCCCTCTTTCAGAGCGACCTTGGCCTCGAGGCTGAGATTGGAGAACTGAGTTTGCAACTCTCAATAAAGCTCCCAAGTGGCATCTGTTGTAGGTAGCCCATCCCACTCTACTAGAGCCTCCTGGATGACCCACTTCCCTTTCTTAATCCACCTGAAGTCCGTAATGCTTTTGGGCTTAGTAACTAGACCACTGATGCTTAATAACTAGACCTCCAGCATCAGTGAATGTGGGTAATGTTGGGCTGACGATGGACTGTGGACTGGTGCATTTCTTGAGCAAGGATTCATGGAAGATTGGGTGAAGGTGGGTGGTGGGGGGAAGCTCCAATTTATAAGCAACCTGACCAATTCTTTCCAAAACCTTGTAAGGGCCGAAGTAATGGGGCCCCAATTTTGGCCAGGCCCTCATTGTGACTGAGACTTGACGGAAGTGTTGAAGCTTCAGGTAAACATATTCCCCGACCTGATACTCCATCTCTCGATGCTTCTTGTCATAGTAACGCTTCATCCTTTGTTGGGCTCGGTTCAGGTTGAACTTAAGCTCCTGTAGCACTTCATCTTTGTTGATCAATTGTGTCTCCATGGCAGCCACACTGGTGGACCCCACTTCGTATGGAAGAATGGCGGGGGGATCCCTTCCATACACGACCTTGAAGGGAGTCATGGCTGTTGCCCCTTGGTAAATAGAGTTGTACCAATACTCGGCCCAAGGTAACTACTGGACCCATTGTCGTGGTCTATCCCCTGTAAAACATCTCAAATATGTCTCCAAGCACTTATTTACCACCTCAGTTTGGTTGTCGGATTGTGGATGATAGCTGGTGGACCGATATAGCTTAGTCCCCTGGAGTCAGAAATACTCCCTCCAAGACTCTCTAAGGAAGGCTGGATCCCAATCCGAAACAATCGACTTGGGAGTTCCATGTAACTTGGCCACATCTCTAATAAAAACTTCAGCAACCATTGCAGCTGTGTAAGGGTGTGGAAGTGCTGAGAAGTGCGCATACTTGGTAAGGCGATCAACGACCACCATTATAACTAAATGTCTGTTGGACTTGGGCAACCCCGTAATGAAGTCCATAGAGATTTCTTCCCACACCTGTGTGGGTATTTTGAGAGGCTGCATCAATCCGGGAGGTTCTTGGGAATCATACTTCTGCTACTGGCAAATGGAACAAGCAGCCACATATTGTTGGACCCTCTTTCTCTTACCAGCCCAATAGTAGTGTGAGGACAACCGTTTATAAGTCCTTAGTACTCCAGACTGCTCCCCTTGTGGTGAGTCATGAAATAGTTGTAAGAGAGCAGTAATGTGTTGGGAGGAGGAAGGCAACACGTACCGTCCCTTGTATAGCAGATCTGGGCCCTTCATGGTGTATCTTGGTACGGCGGCTGGGTCTTGCTGACAATGGGCCCATATTTGGGCCAACTCTGGTGCCTCACGGGCTTCCAATCTGATTGCTTCAAATAATGGGTGAATGGGTTGGGAGCCCGTCAATTGATGTAACTCGATTACCCTGGAGAGGACATCTGCTGCCTTATTAGTGGGCCCAGGTCTGTATT